AAAAACCAAAATTATGTGTTGCTTCTCTAATTAAATACTATATAACAAAAACAAACCATGTTAGACTTCAAAATAACACTCCTTTATTTTTTACATTCAAAAAACCACACCACCCAGCAACATCACAGACCATCAGTAGATGGATTAAAAAAGTAATGGCACTAAGCGGAATTGACATAACGGTATTTTCTGCACATAGTACCCGCCATGCGAGCACATCGAAGGCGGCAAGAAATGGAGTAAATATAGAAATTATAAAAGAGACTGCTGGATGGTCTAAAAACTCTGAAGTCTTTAACAAGTTCTACAATAAACCTTTACGAAAGAATACCTCACAATTTGCAAATTCTATAATTAATTATTAACAATTGTTAAGTTTAAGTTAATAATAATCCAGTTAAAAATAATGTTAAAAAATGAATTAGAAACTAGAATTAAGTTTGCATTTTTGAATAGTGAAAACATTTTTATATGTATTTCTCTACATCATGTTTGAACGATTTCTTTGTCACATCAAATATAAATTAAATATATAAATATAAATTTAGATCAAATATTTTATTGTTTACTTTCTTAGGACCTAAGATCGCTTTATATAAGGGATCCTTTAAACATCTACATGGTGAATTAGGTAATTGTTGAGGACAGGACCACGAAAAATAATTGAAAGATTGGTCGACTTACCTGTAAGGAAGATCGATCTTAATTATTTGAGTGGTCCTGTCTGAAAACAATTACCTCCCACCCTTCCCGAATTAACCCCAGCGCGATCGGTAGCCTTTATAATCTGTGATTAGTAGGTGGCAAAATGGGAATGACTTATATTGACAGGATTGAATTATAGGTGCTATGCAACAAAAAATTAATCATTGTTGCTTTAAACTTTGCGCAGCAGAACGGTGTACTACATGGTGAATTAGGTAATTGTTTTCAGACAGGACCACTCAAATAATTAAGATCGATCTTCCTTACAGGTAAGTCGACCAATCTTTCAATTATATGATATAATTTATATCCTTCACTTTATTTGACAGCTATTTTTTGTTTAAAAGTTTGGTTATGGGTTTTACTGGAGCCAGGGTTGGGTATCTACCTACATTTTTGTTTTCGACATGTAGAAAACCTTTTTCGACGTTTTCGACGGTAGAAAACGTAAAAAAGTAGAATACTGTCAAATATCAAAAAATGTGAGGTTATGCAAGTTTGTTGTTTATTATGATTTGTTAAATGTTGTGAAAAATCAGACACCTACCATAAATTTGAAGTTATTTGTTGAGTTTTTTAACATTATTATGGTGGGAAAAAGGGCCACGTTTGGTTGGGAGACCCCAACATAATTTTTGGCATGAGGGCAAATTTTTATCAATTATAGAGAAGTGGAAGGAGAAGTTCGAATAAGGTAATTTACGTAGGTAGAAAACCCTATAGGTTTTCGACGCAAGTCGAAAACAAGTTTTCTACCCTTTTCTACCAAGGTAAATTACCTAAGGTTTTCTACTGACCCAACCCTGACTGGAGCCACAGCACCTCTCTGTCCCCAGCTGTTTCAGTAAAATTAATCTGCCGTACATTTATAAAAGGGTAGTATTTACTAGAGATGGGAATCGGAAAGTTTCCATTTTAAGGAAACTTTCCGTTTTGCAAAGTTTCCAATTGGAAATTTATTTTCATTTTGAAAGTTTCTTTTAAGCTACCGGAAACATTCCTTGGAAACATTCCTTGAAACTTTCCTTGTTTTTTTCATTTAAATGTCAATAGACCTATCTCATAAAACGGACTTTTGGATAGCGCGTGCGTGAAAAGGCACGTCGTCTTTTTTTAATTATATAAAAGAGAAAGAGATACCACTCTTCTTCAGGCACGCGCTATCCAAAAGTCTGTTTTATGGGATAGGTCTATTGTTTAACCGCTGATTTTCGTTAAGGCCATGATACAAGGCCAAGAAACTTTGAATAAGAATTTAATGTTTGTTAATTTAAAGCAGAAGAAGAAGTATAAATAATGTATGTTACATAACCTCAATGAAGCCGAATTATTCAGCATCATCACAAAAAACTTTTTTAGAAAAAGGTAAACAAAATAAAACAATAAACAAAGTTAAAATCATTCAGTATGGAAGAAAGATATTAATCTTAGATAAATTTAAAATACAGCATAACACTTTTATTTAAAAATATTTTCGCAATAAAAATTTTTTTTTTGAAACTTTCGGAAAATTTCGGGAATTTTCGATGGAAAGTTTCCGGGAATTTTCGTCAAATGGGAATTTTCCCATCTCTAGTATTTACCACTGAGCTCAGTAACTGAAAGTGGATTTTGGAATGCATTTTCAGTACCGACAGTACTGACAGTAAATTACGGAACATAGCCAATATGAGAATTTACGACAAAAAAATTAATTACTGATTTAAATAATGTTTTACACGACCGGAAAGACATCCACACGTCAATTCGGCCCATTACTAGACCCCCGCGACCCAGCGTCATAAATTATAACTCATAATTAATAAGTTTAAATGGTGTTCAAGTAAAATCGTACATCCAGTTCAATACTGCCATAACTGCAAATTTTTATTTAATGATTTTATGGCGGTATTTAACTGAATGTATAAAATTACAATAGAAATATGATAGTTGATTCCGATTCGGAAAGATAAGCAAAATTACTAAATTATACAAAAATTAAAAACAGACGACAAAATATACAACAAAAAAATCCCTACGTGTATTACAAGTTGCTGCCCTACTGGGGATTACCGTAAAATGGGGTGAATGGGAACTAAAGGGGAAATCGGGACAAAAGTGGGAAAAAGTTTTCAAACATTTCTTACGTTAATTTAAATTGACAAATCAAAAACTTTTGTGGGTTTTCATGTACAGGAATGTTGTGTTTGCTAGTTAATAGCATTGAAAAATTGGTAACAGTGTAGCTGTCATTATGGGCTAACCTCAAATTGTGAGCAAGTTTTGTTATCGTATGGGTGCTCCGAAAAGCTTCATCTGGAAAACGTAAAAGGGGTAAATGAAATAAGCTGAAACTTTCGTGATTGTTGTCTTAGTTATTCATTTAAAATATAAAAAAGTCAAATTGTTGAAAATGTGTTCCACTTTTTCCTAATAATTTTATAAATTCAAAATGCGCAAAATTGAACCGCATTTGGGTGAATCGGAACAGGGAAAACTTTGAAATTTAGACACTTTTAAAGGTCTAAGGGGTCTATTCTGTAACTTTTTAGTTATAATTTTATAAACTCAAAATTTTTAGAATATGTATTTTATTTATTTTTATATATTTTATACGTTTTATAAATAATAAAAGAAAACATTTTTGAGTTATATATTAGTCTTTTTCTCCCCACCCAAGGTCTGAATCACATTATATGAATTTTTCGCCGCTTTTAAAAAAAATATATTGTGTTCCTATTACACCTTTAACGCGTTAAATCGGCATACAAGGGAAAATAACATTGGTGTTCCTATATCGACTGATACCGGGGCAATAGGAACAAAGCACATTAAAATAAAAAATATATATTTTGGAAAAATCTATTATTTTCAAATTTTGGTTATAGGTAGCCCAGGACCCCATAGGACTTTTAGGCCCAAAACGGTCTTTAAAAAAATTACTATACAACCGCTGTGATTGATCAAATGTCAAAAAGTGTTCCCATTCACCCCATTTTACGGTACTTAATTTCCATCTTGTTGAATAAACTTTTAAATCGTGGAATACCGTATTTAATAGTTTAGTTGCCCAATGGGTCGTGCGAAATACTATTTTGTCGCGCAATGTTTATTTTGGCATATGATGTCCTATTCGGGCATGCAATAATTGTTTTTTCTTGCAATACTTTATTTTGAAGTGCAATCCTCTACTTTGGCGTGCAATACTCTCTTTTGACGTTCGATACTTTCTTTTGGCGTACAATACTTTAGTTTTGCGTGCAATAATATATTAAATATTAAAATTGAATTATTTATTGTAAAAAAATTGTTTGGTCGCTATACATTTTTCTGTCGTCAACATGACCAAATTTGTCGCTGATGCACCTTTTTTTGTTAGGCCGATAAATCACACCCGTTCCTATTTGCCTCATATTCGAATTTTCTTTTAAAATAAAAATTAAACAAAAATGTTGAGCCTAATTCGCTGCATTACAATTGTAACATGTTAGGACAAGAGTTTTTCATATAAAATAACGTGTTTTTTGACAAAAAAAAATAAAGAGGAATTGCGTTTTTGCATATAATGTTAACCATTATAATAACAACGCGAATAATAAACTTATTATTCTGTTGTTAGGCATCAGTGTTTGGTCGATTTCATTATACATAGTGATTTGAACCAATCGGGTTTAAAAATTGGGAGAATGCGACTATAATGATATTTACAATTGGTTGAAAGTGAGAGATGTCAGATTTTATTTATTTACTATCGAAAATCCTTTAATTATAACTATCTAGTAGTTGGGATAGACAAAGAATAGTATAGAGATTATGCGCATTATTTACTCTGATGATTTGCGTCTCTTGTCTAACGACTCAAGACGTATAATAATATACAATAAAACGTGTATTGTCACAAGTGTGCTTATGATGATTTTAATTTCATTTTTGACTAGCATTTAAATGCGTTTCAAACCAATTAATATATACTACATATAATAAAAAATAGGCAATTAAAAAAATGCCAAATTTGAAAAAAAAATATTTTAATAATTTATTTTAATTTTTTTAGGCTTAACAAACTAAAATTTTTAATTTGAACTCATGTTCAATAAATTCATTTATATATTTTTTTTTATATCAAGTAGGTACACAGATCCCGAGCAGGGCCCCTGGAGTCAAACATTTGTAGGTCAATGCCCAAATATGAACAAAATTAAACAAATTTACTTTTAAAGTTTCCCGCTTGGAGTAAAGTACCCCCTATATATAAATGCTTATATAAAGCACTTTTGCCTAAATTCAAAAAACAATCACAACACATCCAAACTTACTGTTACTTGGCGAGGTCAGTTTCAACGGTTGCGTAGTAGAAGACGCCAAACTAACAGTCGATTGACCGGCACCAGGCGTCGGAAGCGGTGTTGACGGGTACCTGGGCGGCGTCGACGACGGCGTCCTGAACAGCGGCGCTGCTGTCATTTGGTCCAGGAAGCAGTCGATTTGACGCAGCGAGAGGGCGTTGTGCAACGTTTCTAACGGTCTTATTGGAGGGACGCCTCCAAAACCTTCAATGGCTAACAATAGAAGAACATTTTTAACAAACATATTTCTTAATTTAGTTTTAAACATATGCTATAATAAGCAAAAAGACCAGTCCACCTTCACATTTTCGCTCAGTAATACTGATTTTCTTTTTACTTTAACTAATATCTATTTAGTTAAGATAAATATACAGGTGACAGCAAAGTTTTGTCTAAACTTTAAAACGCCGGCGTTTTGGTAAAGTAAATTTTAAAGAAAAAATATAAACCCACCGGCAAAAAAAACTGCCACCACAAATTTGCAACCATTTTAATGTTGATTACCTCGAAAACCGCTTATCTGATTTTGATATATGTATGTAGGTTGATTCTTTATTTGTATTATACAAGGTGCTATCTAAGGTATATACTATAGCATAATATAAACAAAAATAAAGAATTAACCGTACGATTCCAATTTTTATTTTTGCATATACCTACTTTATTTGTAAGTCTTGACACAAATGACATCGGTGAGTTTGCGCCATTTGTTGTAGGTCCGAGAGAACCAGAGTTGGTGCTGTTAATATTCAAATGGTATAAATGTGGATCTAGCCACAAATTTTATTGGCATGATAGAGGTCTACATTAAAAGCTACACATTTTGTAGATCTGTATATTACATTGTAATTTCGTGGTTTGCTTACCCGAGGCGCTTGCTGTGCTGGTGATCATGTCTCTCAGGTTGGGTGCGCTGGAACTTCCGGAGATGACGGCCGTGGAGAACAGGGAGTTGGTGCTGCCAGCCACTAGTTTTTTGACACCTAACGGGCCTCCACACCCAAAGCCTAGCATCTTGAAATAGCTCATCTGTCCGGCGATACTGTGACGATGGCGACGCGCGCTGCTTACGGCACTGCCTTCTACATCGGACATGCAAGGAGGAAGGTGGTTGTGTTGGTAGGCGGTTACATTGGGGGGCGGGGGCACGAGGTGCGAAACCGATCGACACGTGCCGAACGTAAAGAATGACAAAAGATAGGAGGGCGAACTGTTAGCGCAAAGCAAGCAACTACGGGATCGGGTGTGTTCGGATACATGCTCGGCGTTAGGGTAAAAACTATTGCTAAATATCGGTGGTTCTGTGGGAGGAATACTATCACTACTAAGCAAGCTCTGATTGTACTTTTCGAACAAAAATTCCTTGTCTGACAAGTTTATGCATTTATTATCAAATAAGTTTGGATCAGAAAATGATCGTTTTTGAAACTTGGCAATCTTTAATCGCCGTTCCTCTACATTTTTAACATCTGTCTCCCAATTAACCTCCATCGACACATCATCGTTTTGACTGTCCACTGTGGTTTGTTTGGAGAGAGATGCTTTTCTACCAAACCTGATATCAGACAACGGCAACTCGTTGGTGCTCATCTTGTTAAAACTTTTTGTCTCTAATTCGCAAGTAAATAATGCTAAATTTAATTCCGTCAAAGGCAACTCATTTGTAGCACTTTGCGGCCTGGACTTTAAAGAATCCTGCCCAATACTGCCAAGATTATTATTGCATGATAAAGAGTCCAAATCGCTGTCAAAAGACCCATCGATAGGACTTAAATCTCCTTTATCAAAGTTTATAGGCGTAAAACTGTTATCGCAATTTAAATATGTAAAATCGTTTTTCGAAGTTACAGTCCGGATTGGAATCTCAAGGGGAGAGGTTAAGGGATTATTGGTGGGTGTTATTGACATGGTACTTGACGGGGATACTGTTTTTTAAATTTGTATGTAAAAACAGTATGTTTATTAGTGATGCATTTTCAAAAAGATAACGTTAAAACACACACATAATGAATATATAGTGAAAGAGGAAAGGCAAGCAGACAGGGTGAAGAAAAAAAAGTAAAAGAACATAATCAGTAACATTCTACCATAACCAAAAATAATATTATTATGATTTTTAGAAACAACGCTACATGCCTACGTAATGATCCATTCAGGATAACTTTAAACTGACTATTTGCTAAATTAATAAGTTTTTTAAAATGTTCAAATATATTGAAGTAAATTAATAAACTGAAAGGATAATTTGTTTTAAAATTAAAAACACGTTGCTTGTAGCAATAAAACGCAGCACAATGTAATTAGCATTAAATGGTTCTATCTTCAACTATAACAATTATATTAGTACTTAGGTACAATATTAAATATATTAGTTAAAAATGTAAAACATGCAAAGCCAAACAAAGCAAAACGGAAGCAATAACAATTTCTGACAAAAATATATTAATGAATTAAACTCTGCTGAATAATAATGTTTGTCATAAATGTAATTTGAGTAATGGAAAAGGAGAAAAGAAATAAGGGTCCGGCATGTGTTATAGGGAAATATATCGAACCCTATTCGCGTATTTTTGGAGAAAAATATGCGTAAGAGTGGGATGTATCTCCGGTCGTATTATTTTAGATCACCAGTCGCACGGGGTCAACCAGACAGATGAGTAAACATTTTAACATCAACTTGACTTTGTTCATGCCAAAGGAAAACAAAAAGTTACAAATACAAAAACCATCGGTTATGTTCTTATTAGGTACTATAGTAGTATTATAAAATTACTTTTGTGGAAACAAGCTTGTATCGGCTAATACGTTCGGTGATCTCTGAGACAATCATTACTTAGCCAAATACAATATGTTTAGCCCTTCTAAACAAACCTGTGCTGTTTTATTATTAATGTAACATTTGGTGGTTAACCGAACTACATAACACTTAGCCAGTGGCGTAACAATACAATGTGTGGCCTTTGTTAATTTTATTGACTTTTGTTAAAATTATAACCAAAATGGAGTTCTCTTCTTAAGAAAAAATCCGAAAGCCAAAAAACTTTATGGTTAATAAACCAGTGGCAGATCCGAGGGGGCGATTTGAGTCGGAACCCTTATCTTCGGGATCGGAAAAACCAAAATTGACCTTATTTATATTATTTATAATTTATGCAAAATTTTTACATTTAAAACTCGAAAATAAGTGGAAAAAAGTCTAAACCCTATAGGGTATACCCATCGCGGTATTGGGATGGCAGACAAGATGTAGGTAGAGTCCGAACGCTGCAGCGCGCTGTAAGTTTGATACCGCACTCTACCCACAAAACTAAAAGGTGGGGAAAAGTCGCTTTGAACAGGATGCGCGTGGAAAAATATGAGGCACCATACAACAACCATCGACGCACGAGTCGTACCGTACACTGCATTGTGCCATAGGTACTGCTTTACACAAAATAATAATAATTTCAATCCGAGTTGGATAAACTTTAAATATTACCTAAGTGGGGCTAATTTTCGCAATGAGTGAACCGGGGGCAAACTAACCCAAAACCCAAACTAAACAACCCAACCGACCCCGCCCCGACCCTCTCAAAAAATAGAAGAATAGTTTTAATTTACAAGACTGAATAATCAATATTTTATTTTTTTGTGCATTTACTTTTTGTTTATTTTTGCAGACATCGTCTGCAGTATTCATTAAGTTTTATTTTATTTATTTATTTTATTTTATAAGAATGTTATTTTGTTTTTAAAAATTGTTTTTGTTTTCATCTTCAAATATTTTACACACTCTTAATGAGAGTCCCTCATCAAACTAACAGAATAACCTTCCCCGTTATCCTCTTCTGGCAATAAACACTCTAAACCTCCCTGTTGATTCTTGCTGGACGATTTAATATTCTTATTATTCTTTCGTACAATTGCATGGAATGAAATATTAAATTGACAAAGTAGAGTAGTTTCTTTTTCTTTTACTATTAGGAATAAGAAGGACCACGCCTTTTCTTTTTTAAACTTGAGTGGTTGCATGCTTAAAAACTTGATCACGTCCATTTTAAAAAAATCGGGCTTCTTACCCGCTTCCCTTGCTTAATCTCAGGGAGCCCCTTACAAGCAAACTGTGGACACGCTACTGAGCTGGCCTAACCAGTTTTAACAAGCACCAGCCGCCACTACTTTACAGCAGGGTTTACGAAATATTCACAAAAATAACATTTTTTTAATATAAAACATTGTATATTTTTACATATTTTAAAAGACAATTTAATTTGGAACAAAAAATTATTATTGGGTAACTACCCTTAACTTAAAAATAAACAATTAATAAGAACTTGAACTCTAATTGTTGTTAAAATAAAGTAATAATTTGCAAATATATGATTATTTCAACAAATTAAAAAAATAAGTATAAAAAAAAAATTCGGGGTTTGAATTTAAAATAAAAATTGTATAATGTATATGTTATTCGCAATAGACGAAATCGTCGACTGCCCGAATTTTTTGTCCACAAGGCATTGTGGGTATAATAGTTTACCCACGATGCGGTTAGAAACGTTTTTTCCGAACAGTGAGAAAAGCTAATTATACAGAACGCGTTGTGGGTAAACTATGCTACCCACGACACGAAATAATTATTCGCGCGTTTTTGTTTTGCATTGCGGGGCATGTCGTTTGCCCACGTCGCGTTTTAGCTGTTGTGTTTTACGCCATTCAAATATGGCGCCAATACATGTTACAGAAATCTACTTCAATTTTTGGAATTGCTTAGATATTGTAGACCTAGATGGCGTTACCTTTACTTTACTTTAGACTCTTGCCGCTAGTGCTAGTGCAGTTTCCAATCTATGGGGTGAATTATCTTTGTGAACAACTACACAATACCCACATAACATGCTATGGATATGGATATTTTATGGATATACTTGATATATTTTTTATGTATATCCATTTGTGAATATTTTATGGATATACTAAATAAATTTTTTCATGTATATCCATAAAATTGATATACTTGATACATTCTTTCATGTATATCCATAAAATGTCCATAAATGGATGTCCTTGATACATTCTTTCATGTATATCCATTTATGGATATTTTATGGACATACTTTGTATAACTTTTATATAATAAAGAGGGGGAAACCACCTTCCGCAATACGTGTACATTTGGTCCGAAATCACTTGCAATCGTCGCTGCAATCCCGCAGTCACTTCGCAATCGCCGAAATCCCTACCTGCAATCCCGCAATAACCGAAATCTCTATCTGCAATCCCGCAATCGCGGAAATCCTATACTTGCAATCCCGCAATCGGGTTGGCTAAAGTAATCGCAATGTTTTTAAATATAAGATTTGACAAAAATATGTTATTGATGAATGAATTAATTGAAGACACTAGTGAATAAAGGGTCCTGAATTTTGACACTTTGTTTTTTAGTTTGGGTTTCCAATTATTGACAAATGTGTTTTTTTTACAAATTATTGACATTAATAAAATCAATGAATACAATTAATAATGTGGTTTATTAATTGGATAAACAATCTTATTTGCACAGACACTAATACAGTTAAGAGCCAATGGTTGGTTTTGTGGATTGTGGGCAACTTAGAGTACTCTAAGGTGGGCAATATGTATCCCTGCTTAAAATACCCCATAGAGACCCTGTTCAAACCGATAGATATTTGTATCGGGATGTATGGTGTTTCTATAGGGTGTATCGGTTTGTATAGGACCCATAGTTGAGATTTATGGTTGTTCTATAGGGATATCCACCCTTGATTTATTTGCTATCGGTTTCAATGGGGAAAATACACATAAATGTAGAAATTACTTTTTCCCCTATAGGACCCCATAGGTTTTAATTAAATTATGTCAAATGTTTTATGGTTGCTCTATAGGGATATCCCTATATATCCTTCATTGAGTTATTTGCTATCGGTCTCAATAGGGAAAATGTAAAAGTTATGGTGTGCCTATAGGTAATTTCCTATACATTTTCTATCGGGCCGTATCCGGAAAAAACCATGGACAAATGCACATATTGAATCCGGTAGCGCCCGATAGATTATTTTGTATAGGTCTCTATGGGGTATTTTAAGCAGGGATGTGGTTTTTGAGGTGACTCATTAGAAATTTGGTATCCATTTTTCTAAAAACAAAATGGCTGATCTAATATGGCGGTCATTTGTCGTTCAGCTTTAACGATTTGGATAAAATTTTGTAAAAAGATATTTTTGGGGTAGCTGATTATGAATTTTATATCAATTTGCAACTGCGGATTCAAAATGGCAGATATCTATGCGCAGTAGGTACCAGATGGTTGGATCTATGCGCAGTGCTTACTGGATGATCCTAGCTATGCACAGTACTTACTAGATGACCGTACCTATATATGCATATATGCGCAATATATGCATATATGCGCAATAGTTTTAAGATGGTTGCATCTACGCGCAGTAGTAACGTGCACTTTCGGCCTTAAAAGTTTTACTTTACCCAAGTAATCTTGGCAAACACAATTTTGTTTATTTCGTGTTCAAATTTCTACAAAAAAAAGTTTCGTACCTATTTTATCCCAAATATTTTTTGTGTTTTAATTTTATAGCTACTTTTACCACGAGAGAAACGAGATGAGGCACTCTCGAGGGAAGAGTATTCTCGTCGAGACGAGGACCCATTTTCTCTCCCTGTACGACACGAGACAAAAGAAGGACTTCTCTTCTTTTCTCGTTTCTCTGTCGCAATCAAGCTAGCAATAATATCTACAATTCAACCCAATTCAACGAAAATCGTCTCTCAATCCTCACAATTCCATTGCAGTCCTGCAATTACTAACTTCAGGTCGTAATCCTCCGAAATTGCAACAATTTAAAAAGAATTCTCCGAAATCACCGAAATCATGGGATTTCGGTCGCAATCTTCCGAAATCACCGCAATCATG